TAAATTTACTTGCTTTGGACTACACAGGTAGAACTCTAATGATAAAGTCTAGTTAAAACCCCAAATGACTGTTCCAGAAATTGAATGAATTTCTATTAAGTAATAAGCACAGCTGAATACTGTCTTCCTGAAAAATATGGTAATGCTTCGAGGAATATGCCAAAATCTGCTCTTCACTGAAACAGATATGTGTATCTGTAAGAGAAGTGGGCAGGAGGCTACCCTCCCAGTATATTTAAGGCTGATGTGGATTATAATCCACGACTTCTGGAACACTGAGCCTCCCAAATCATGTAAAAGTTCTAAAAGCTCTTACAAAACTTAGTATTTTGATACTCCAAAAAATGTGTGGTTATATAATCTGATCTCCCTTCTATCATACAGATGACAGAGAAGTACTGGGAACTCTTTTGGAGTTTCACATCATGATGCTGCAAAATAGATATATGTGAAAAAGAAGAAATAGGAAAAAAGTAAATTAATTACAGATAGGACATTTCTTGTTCAGGATTCTTTAAAATGTGCTATGAATTTGTTTTCTCCCAAAATTGCCTACTAGAAGAAATAACTCCATCTGGCTAAACAATAGACTGTTATGAATATAGTAAAGGAAAAGGTTAGAAATAGGTTGGAACTATAGTCCTTCAAGTATAGACTTTGACATAATAGTTGACAATAACAGAAGTAGCAATCCCAGGTGTGCTGGGGGTTGCTAAATTGCATTAGCCAGGTGTCTTGTTATCTATCTGACAAAAACGCAGAGGCAAATCATTCTTAGATTATTTCACTAGAACTTTTTTTGTTCCATTCACCAACTAATATATTGGTCAGATATGCCTGACAATATAACTCTAAAATTAGAGCACTGGTTAATGTATTGATATCTGAATTATTAAGGAACTAGTTTAAAACTAATCTACACACACAGGGAAGTACACAGTAGCAAGACACTCTTACATTCCAGACATGAATCCCAACATAGTGTCTCCCCTCCCAAATTTTGATAACTTCTACCTAAAGTTGGACTATTCAACTATATCAGAAGAAATGTATCACTGAACACACATTCCAATCTGGGATAAAATGGAATGTGTAAGAAAGAGAAAGTAGACAGCCACTACTCTCTCTTTCTTACACATTTCATTATCTTCAAGGAAAAAAAGCCTATATATGTATTCTGCATCTAAACTCTTTCCATTGTGCTTTTGCAATATACCGGCATACTACTTTAGTACATGCACATATTTGTTACCCTGTTTTCCTTGTTTGTTCAAAGAACACTCTTGGAAAACTTTGGTTTGTGCTGCATTCTGCATATTTATTATACAGTAAGAACAATCGTGGCTCAACCTACTAGATCAAAATGCACATTTTTGGATTTACTGTACTAAAGATGAACTTCGGGGTATTATTTTATGCCATAAAAGTCTTCTAAATATCAATGAGCAAAAGGTGAATGTCTGCTTCTTAGAGTAGCCTTTTCTTCCAATGTAAGAATAGAAGGGTCATCTCTCAATTTTGGTAAATAAATATTTTCCACTCAATATCCATAGAATGAATCTTTCATTCAGCTTAGGAAAACTCTTTCTTCAGACTCACTACTGTCTCATTCTTGCAACCATTTTTCTTTTCCAACATTATCAGATTATATTTAAGTTGCTGCAATAAGAAAGATTAAACCTTGATACCATCTGAAAACCAAGATGTTAACTTTCAAACAGTATTGGAGATTCATTTCCTTATCCTGAGAGTTCATTTGTGATGTGTATATGATAAATCTCAATAAATTCTTATATTTGTCTGAGGAAAAATATGTTGCACTGGATCCACCTAAAATAGATTTTGAGTATTGCCGTGTATGACAACCAGTTTGAAATACAGTTACCATTTATAGCATTAAAGGAAAAAATATTTTCTTAGCATGTGAAGCCATATCAAGTAGATTCACCACCACTAAAATCAGTAAGATTTTGCAGAGTAAAATGCAAGCAAAATGACTTCTTCATTATCTAGCCAACATCATCACAAAAAGCCTCTTAACGCTTCATAAACGATTTGGTCATCATTTTATATTTAATCATAAGTGCATTAGAGCAACAGACTATGCTCAGCATGTTCAAACAAATGCAACTTATCAAGTGAAAGGGGCAACATTTTAGAAAATCAACATTTACTATACTGCAGATAAACAAGGATAGAAAGCAAAAAAACAATTATGCCTGGCACAGACTACATCCTTTATCTAGAAGAAAAGTCATTTTTAAAGAGTTGACATCCCAAATAAAGTCTTAACACACTTTGGGACCAAGAAAAATCTTTTCTTTTTTTTTAAATATAGAGCACCCTAGAGCAATTGAACTAAATATGCAATGAAGATCAATATTTTATTGCTGCCATCTCACCACAGCAGTTATAGTTCATTGGATCTACATAGCAGGGTGATTGTTTTCATGAACAAGGTCTTCTACTAGAAGTCATTCAAATTTCGTTTTAATTTTTGGTACAAAAGTTTCAAATTTATGACCACACTACTATACATCTAAGATAGAAAAGCTGATATTAAAGAAAATAGAGATAGAAAATACATTATTTTAAAAAGTGAATGATGAATGCATCATCATTCTTGATGAATGCATGAACTTAATATACAGGTAGTCCTTACTTACCAAGTTCAGTGATTGTTTGAAATTGTTAACAGTGTAAAAAAAGTGTACTGCAACAGCCACACATGCAATCTATCCTCGCATATCACAGTATCCTGCAGTCATATGATTAACAATTAAGATTCATCATCTCAGCATTCAATGGCTGCATAATCACCATTTACATGCTTCCCAACCAGCCTGTAACAAGCAGAGTTAATGGAGAACATGGAAGTAAAATCAGAAGTCACAGTCATGTAATGTTTTGCTTAATGGCTACGGTGACTTCTTTAACAACTGAATGGGAAGTGATGTCGTAAGTCTATAACAGTCACATGATTTTTCAATTAGCAACTGCTGCACTTAGCAATAGCTGCCAGTCCCCGTTGTGGTCACTAAGCAAGAACTACTTATATACTATAAGCTATGCAGTATAAATGCAGGATTAGTAGATATCCAAATCTTTCATATATGTAGCCTATCTTCCTACAAGACAACATATACAGAATCAGCTAATCTTCACCATTACTTCCTACATCAAGTTATGAGGTAATTATATTAAGAGACAGTTAATTAATCCAAGGCTACCCATGAGACATAGCTGAGGGCTTCAGCTATGATGACCTTATCCCAGGCATAACATTGCAAACTTCTTCTTTATTTTAAAGGCATTAAATTTCAAAATAATAGATCAGGTAGAATTAAACCGGTGCCTTCTAAGTGCTTTTAATTTCAGTTCCCATGACTTTCTGCCAACATGGTCATAGTTTATTTTTTAAATTTTGACACTGCCCATCTCAGTTGGGTAATTAGTTAAAATATTTGTGAACTGCAATAAAAAATCTGAAGAACACTTGGTTGCTAGCACATTCCTAGATCACATAGTTGTCTTGGCAATTAAAGGTGCATCCTATTTTTGCATTATAATCCAGGAAGATAAATTCCATAATATGCAAGACACTTTAATTTTCTTATGTATACAGCATGTAGAGTGTATCTATGAGTCTAGGCCAGGGGTGTCAAACTCGCAACATCACATGACGTGTCGCGACATATCGTGACTTTTTTTCCATTGCTGGCAATGGGATAGGTGCAGTTTCGCCATGACGCATCCAGCCTGTGGACCGGCAGTTTGACACACCTGGTTTAGGCTTACTGGTTATTATATTTAAGGACACAAGACACCTTAGATCATTAATCAGATCAAAAGCACTATGAGAAATTTGAAAAGTTAAGAATGTCTAGATATAAAAAGAAAGTGAACAAATTTACCGATTATACAATAGTGCACATGTAGTGTTAACAGTCCCAAGTGAATAACCGATCATAAAAATATGAAATGGTCAATTCACTCTTTAAAAAGAAAATAAAACCTCACGCTCTCTCTTGCTTAACTAGGGGGACAAAGGATTTCAATGTTCCCTGCTAGGGAAGCCAGCACCAAGTTGAAAGACAATCACATGAAGTCCTTGCTTAACAACCTAGATCAGTGCCAGAGGCGGCACTCAGAGCCCTCTCTGTGGGCACGCACGTCATTGCCCCAACCCTGCCACCCCCCATGGCCCACTCACCAGCAGCCCCCCTGGAGGAGAGTCGTCCCGGGTGCAGCCTGCGCAGAGCAGCGCAGCCAAGACATGGCAGCCGGACAGCAGGGACAAGACTCCGCCCTCGCGCCCCATTGCGTACAGATGATACTATGGAGCACGGACAGAGGGCATGGCCATGACGCTGCTGGGCTGCCTGGGCGATCTGCTGTGGTGGGCCGTGGAGGTGGTGGGTGGCCCTACGGGCAGGACAGGCAGGGGTGGGGCAGGTGCGAGGCGGGTTTTGGGCACTTGGTCTCTAAAAGGTTCGCCATCACTGACCTAGATGGTCCTCACTTAACAGCAGCAACCAGAACGGTTGTCACTAGATGCTTTATGTTACCAACCACTTGTTCAGCAACTAGTAGAAACTGTAATAGCACTGAATGAGTCCTATTGATGACTGGTCCTTGAAGTTCCAATCATTGCAGCATCCTGCAATCACAAGATAACCATTTGTGATCTTCCCTGCCAGCTTCTCACAAGCAAAGTCAATGGGAAAGCTGGCAGGAAATGTCACAAGTTGGTATGGCGAGTATCCCTCCTGCCTTCCTGTGCACTATGCCGCACTTTTTTTCCCTTAGTCTCCTTGCACTCACACTGATCCACGTCCTCCTTCCCTTGGCTTCCCTGCGCTCATATCAATCCACACCCTCCTTTCCATGACTGTGCTCCCCCCTGCACACCTTCGGGTTACAACAGCAACCTAAATTGCCTAGATTGCTATCACTAAGCAATGTGATCACGTGGCATCACACTGTATAACATCACTTACCAATGGCAGTCCCAGTTGCTGTTGTAACCCAAGGGCTATCTGTACTTTTCATCATGTTCCATTTTAAGTACGTAATCTCATCTATTTAAAAGATGCACAGAAGAGAGATCTTGAGCTACTGGCATTCACTTGAAACAGACAAGCAAGGGGTTTACAAATCTCAATATGCAAATAATATCAAAAAATATAATTCACAGAATTTACAAAATCACTGACTCCACCCTGAAAACAGTTTTGCGTTTTCCTCCACACCTCTTTTTGCACATGGCTAGGATTGGTGGATCTAATAAAAAAATAGAGGGAATCTCACAAGTCTGAAATACACACAAAACTGAAGTGGGTTACTCAAAAGTAACAATGAAGGGTGCATGTTCACAATACCAACACTACCATTTTGAGTCAGACCCAGCAACTACAAAATGCACAGCAGCAAAAACAGGATAAGCCATTAATGCCTGCCTTTATTTGTGTGGCTGGGTTAGGTTAGGTTGGGACAATTTAGTAAGAAATGGACTAGAACCACAGCAAGCAGCAGAGGGACTATGGCACAACTTCATGAGAAAGTTGGAGCTTTCCAAACTGCAGGCCATTATTACTATATTACTATATTATTATTTTATGCCACCTTTTTTAAATAAGATGGTGAACTTCCTCCTCCCATTTTCCCAACAACAACCCTGTAAAGTGGGTTGGGCTGAGAAGAGAGAGTCACTCAGCCAGTTTTTCTGTGTAAGGGAGGCCTACAATTCAGTCTCCCGGTTTCTAGGCCAGCATCTTCACCTCTACAACCAGGCTGACTAAGAGATCTAAGAACTGAGCTGCAACACTTGGCTAGCAGCGTATGGAAGCAGACAAGGCTCTTCAGCTAATAATACTGACAGGCTCCATCCAGGATGCGGGGTCCAAAATGCAAAAAACGAACAGGACGGCCTGGCCGCGCTCAAGAAGGGAATTCCAGTTTCCCTGGGCAACCCCAGCCTCACCGCCGCCCACTCCAGGCAACTCTCCAAAGGTCGGACGCTTCTCCTCCTTCGGAGGACGCGAGGTGCAGCCCAGGTCAAACTCTACGACTGCAAAGCCCCGTGGGGAGGGGAGGGGGGAGGGAGGTTTGCCTGCATCCGTTCCGCTCCCGTTCCCGCCGTCGTTTCCCGCTCACCTGCTATCTGAGTCACGAAGGCTTCCGCCACCAGTGACATGCTTCCGACGACAGACGACTCCCTTCCACTCCCGTCCCCAGGCCGAGTCGCAAGCCGCCGAAGGTGAACGACACCGAACGATAGCACGGCGGCTGCGCCGACCAGCCTGCGAGGAAAGTGCATCCGGGGCCTGCTCCGCCCCTCTGAGGAAAGACAGAGAGAGAAGAGCGCGCCTGCTTGCAAAAGCGAAGAGAAAGCGATGCTTCTCGCCTGCGCGCTGCAAGAGCCGCTGCGGGTCTCAGCCTGAAAGGGGCTGCGGTCCTGGTTCGCCCATTACTCGCAACCCGGGTGTGTTACATTCGCCGACGCTTCGTGGTTGGGAGAAGTACACTCTAATCCGCCGAAGCGGGTCTGATGGGCTCACTAGTCGCAAAATGCGTGGATTTGGTTTTGCCTTTTTTCCCCTGGCATTTTGGACAAAGGGCTAAAGGTGGGGAGTAAGTACTGGGCCATTGTAATATCCCAAAATAAAAATTCCTGCGAGGCTGATTGCCCCAACCCTCGGACCCATTCAGGCACCAGCATTTTATATGAATGGGGGTGGATGAGCACATATGTTGTTCGTCCATCGATTTCGATGAAGACCTTGACAGCTTGTGGGTTATGGGCCATCAACGATGTGTCCGTAGGTGGCTAATAAGACCAATGTTAGCACGGAATGTTCTGCCACATACTGAACAAAGAAATGTAGACACTGTTACTTCAGCATTTGCAGCTCTGGCTTTGCGGAGTGCTCGCTTTTCTTGTGCCAAGATTGTCCTTCTGTGTTCATATGTCTGGCAACCCTGGTACACCAAGGTACGCCATGTTGGTCGAGCATGCGCCAGAAGTTCCCAAGAGATGGTGTTAATATCCAGAGACTTAAGAGAAGCTTTCAATGTGTCTTTGTATCGCTTCTTTTGTCCCCCATGCGATCACTTTCCTTGAGACAGCTCACCATAGAAGAGCTGTTTAGGGATGCAATGATCTGCCATCCTTACAACATGGCCTGCCCAGCGCATCTGGGCTTTCATCAATAGAGAGTAAATTGATGATAGGCCTCCTCTGGAGAGGACATCTGTGTCTGGTATCTTATCCTGCCACCGAATCCTCAGAATTCTACGAAGGCAAGTCATGTGGAAGTAGTTCAGTTGCCTAACATGCCTCCTGTACACTATCCAGGTCTCACTAGCATACAATAGGGTAGTTAGCACTGCTGCCTGGTAAACTTTAAGCTTGGTAGCAAGACTTATTCCACGGCGGTCCCACACGTTAGTCCGCAATCTGCCAAATGCAGAACTTGCCTTGGCAATTCTACAGTTGACCTCAATGTCAATTGTCACTGCATGGGAGAGGGTACTACCAAGATACGTAAATTGGTCCACTGCTTGCAGCTTTTGTCCCTTTACTGTGATGGTAGGCTCTTGATATTGGGCTTTTGGAGCTGGCTGGTACATCACTTCAGTTTTTTTCGTTGATGAAGAGGCCAAAGTTGTCACAACTGCCTGCATTAAGGGCACAGTCATTAGCAAAGAGATCTCGTAGCACAGTCTCCTTTACCTTGGTGACAGCCTGAAGTCTTCGCAGGTTGAACAGTTTTCCATCGGTTCTGTACCTCAGATTAACTCCCATTGAGCTGTTCTAAAAGGCGTCTGACAGCATGGCTGAGAACATCATGCTGAACAGGGTTGGTGCCAGCACGCAGCCTTGCTTAACGCCATTAGTAACAGGGAAGGCCTCTGAGGCTCCACCGTTACTCAGAACACAAGCCGCCATGCCATCATGGAACTGTCATACCATCAGAATAAACCTGTCCGGGCACCCAAACTTCGACATAATGCGCCATAGTCCTTCACGACTAACTGTGTCAAAAGCCTTGGTGAGATCCACGAAGGTGGTGTATAGTTCATGATTCTGCTCCTGACATTTCTCCTGGAGCTGTCGAGCTGCAAATATCATGTCCACTGTGCCACGCTCTTTGCGGAAACCACACTGTGTCTCAGGTAGTATACCCTGTTCCAGATGGTCAAGCAGGCGATTTAGCAACACTCGTGCAAAGATCTTCCCTGCAACAGAGAGAAGTGATATTCCTCTATAATTATCGCAGACTTGTCGATTTCCTTTCCTCTTGTAGAGGTGCAAGATGGACGCGTCTTTCAGTGCACATATATGTGCACATATAGAGCCTAGGTGGCAGGCAGTCTTTAGGACCACGTATGAACTCAGTCCCTGTCAAATTATATCTCAGTAGGTATGAAATAAAATATATCAAATAGGTATGAAATAAAAAACATGTTTTTTTTCATGGGAATAAAAATAATTTGTAATTAGCTAGAGAATTACATAACAGGTACTTAGTTAGATTTGGTTTGTGAGAACTGTTAATTTTTTCTAGGGCTTCGGCAGGACATTTTATTTATCAAATTTCTACACTGCCCAATTCACCTAAATGACACTGGTCATATATTTGTATTGGTTTACAGATAAAAAAACATGGTAATGTAAACAACATAATTAAAAACAGTTAAAAGTAGAATTAAAACCAATTTGAAATTAGAGGCTAGAATTTAAAAGTTAAAAAGCTAAAGGGGCTGCCGGGTGAGTGCCCTCAAGCCACCAACTACCCACGTGGTTGTATTTCATTTGTAGACCCCCATACCAATTGGCAGAGGCAGGTCTTGACATTTTTCCAAAAAGCCAGAAGGCTGGCAGCATGTTTAGAAAATGGAAGGAGCAGGGACACAGCCCCTGCAAAAGTTCTTAGGCCCAGAAGCCAAAGGTGGATACCATCCCATCTCCTGGAAAGGCAAAGCAGAATGTGGAACAACACCCATCATCACTGAAGGAAGCTGTGTCCTGTTTGATTTGCCCCTTACAAGTTCCTTATACTGTATGTTCTAACTTGACCATTATTTGCAATGGAGAAAAAATAGCATTTGCAATATTTGGATCATTGGTAACAAATAAGGATTTGCTATTCATTGGGTCTTCTTTCAAACCATGGTGGATACACTGCTCAAGGAAGGCTAAGTGGTACCCATGGCACTGAGCAGTGGCTGCCTCCCTGGAGATCCCTTACCTGACTTTATATTTTTAAAGATGGGTCTAATTCATAACTAATCCGAAATGAAAAACTGGCATGCTGCAAAGCAAACTAACTGGCTCCAATCATGTTGATTTTCAAGAAGGTATTTTGGCCCTCCATATGTTTTATGGGCATTCCTGCAAAAGACAAATAGTAAACAGCTATAGCCAAATGGTCTTTTTTGGGGGGTGGGGGGAGTGTGTCCACCGACTCAGAAAAAAATAAGCATAACCATAAAGCTGAGCTATCGTGACGGAGCATCCGTGGAAGCTGAAAGAGCTGGTGCAATGGAACTGCCTTAAATGCCACCTTCTGGTAAAGGAATGGTTTATGAATGGCTACACCTCTATTGGCCATTCATAAAATGGTTGTTGCAGCCATTTTGTGAATAATAAAACTATTTCATGGTAGCCATTTTGTGTGTGTTCACATTATGCTCTCAAAATTACAAATGTGCTCACCAGCCCAAAATATTGACTAACCTTGATATATTTGGATTTCAAAGTTCAAAATATTTATGAAAATATGTAGTTTGGAATTATATCTTTGTATTTTTACCTTATTATTAGGCAGCTGCAGTACTGGAGATAGGACTTTGAATAGCACTAACAGTAAAGCTGACAGTATATATCTGAACAATTTCAATGTCTCCAGGCTTTCTGTTTTCTTACTTCATATTTCATTTTAATAACAGAAGCAGAATTAAACTGTCAGCAATATTTGAGAAGCCAACAGTGTTTATGTTACTAACAGGTTTTACATCCGTCATGACTTATGTAGTAAATGTCATCACCATCAAACATATGCCTTGTCTCCATTTGCTGGATAGTTATGTGGCTAATCCTCAAACCAACAATCCATCATAATGAACAAAATTATGATAAATATCCCCATCAGTTATAATACTGCAATATTGGTCAGTGCTTTTCATTACTGCGTTGTCTAGATCTAATTTCAGTGCAGCTCTTTCTTACTGTATTTCCACAGTGAGCTACTCATTATCTCTGGCCTAATCTTGCAATTCTCAATGAAGCAGGGAGGGGAGAACAGTCTAATGAAAGGTTTTATGCGGTTTTCACTTAGGTTGTGTGGACCATGAAAAATGGTTTTTGACCTTGAAGAAAATAGCTGTTTATTTTATAAAATAAAAGTTTTTCTCCTTTCATTACTGCTTTCTGGAATGTTTTTTTAACAAGAATTGAAATACTTTATTACACTTGTCTTCAGCCTTTTATCTGTTGGCTTTGTTATGCACTGAGAGTTCCATCATGCATTAATAAATTTGACAAAATATTCATACAACAGAAACTGTACATGCAAAATACCTGAAAGTTCTCTCATCATCCAGAAACAAATGTAGCACCGGATTTTGTTGCTGAAGCCAACTGCTAAAAATTTATCCAAGCAAATATTTTTGATCTTGTGTAAAAGTTGTGGTTGCAAAATATAGTTGTCCCAAAATGAACTTTTGTCCAGAATGAGAATAATTTTTAAATTTCCCCATCACAAAATGTCATTTTTGGAAGTCATTTTAGAAAGGGGGAAATAAATTACTTATGAGTGGTTGTTGGCCATCCATGTGTTAGAAAACATAAATTGAACCAGCTAAATATTCAGTTATGGTACAAGCATGCCATACTAGGCCTAATGCATAATCTCTCTCATGAAGGCTTAGTTTGACAAGAAAATTAGTATGTGTACTCTAAACTTTATTTTTTTCTTCTGTTTTTCTAGATATTAACTGTACTCACACACACTTCCTGTACATCTAAGGTTGCTGATCACATTCCAGTATATTCTCAGTCGCTATCGCTACCTATAATCTTTTTGATATTAAAAAATAAATTAGGTGCACTGACTGTGGTGAAGTTTCCAAACTACAGTAGTGTATTCTCTTGGCTAAGTACTATATTACAAAGAGAGACTATGGGTTTCTTATACTGCATGTACCAGTGGATAAATGGACCTTAGTTTGGGTTCCAAGTGATCATTAAAAGTATCCTGGCTATACTGATATCTTCTAGAAAAAT